TACGTGAGCGGTTCAGCAAACTGAGGACGGCAGTGGGATTCGCAAGCATTTGGAAACAATCCGTAAGCGTTGCGGACAAGAACGGGTATTAGTCCCACAACAGATTGACGAATCAATCGTCTACGCACATCTTGCAAACTATGTGACAGAAGCAGCGCTGCCCGGGGAAGACACCAGCCTTTTGCACCGAAAATGACAATCGAGTGCACACCTTTTTTCCCATCTTGTATAGCATGTACGAAGAACTTCAGCGACGATTGGGCTACAATATTTGAAAAGTGAAATTGCATGAAAACTTTGTTGCGCATAGGTGTACAAAGATAGAATAAACTGAGCTTTAAACAATGCCCCTATTCAGTCCGATCCAGCGATTGTTCCTCGTTCCTAATTATCTTTCCGCTACCATCATGATAGCCAGTAACTCAAAAAGACATGCGCCCCCCCCCCCCCCCCCCCCCCCAATTTGGTTCACCTCCCTACCGCCCCCCATTATGAAAATCCTGGCGCCGTCCCTGCTGAAATCACGGGTCCTCTCATCATCACCATCGCCCTAGCTGCCGATACCGGTTGACGACGTTACACCTCCAAGCGTAAAGATAGGCCTAACGTCAGGCCAGCGCATATTCGCGTCCCTCTCCTCTCGCTGTGCCTCCAGCACTTCGGTTGGCTCCTTCAAAACGATGACGCCGTTGCTATGGAGCCACATCACGCGTCGCCGCCAGTGGGAATTTAGGTGCCGTTCCTCTCAGACAATGGGAATTTAGGTGCCGTTTTTAACTACTAGAGACCGCGAAAGCATTAACTGTTTCAAGGGGCTTCGCCCCATGAAACAGTTAATGCTTTCGCGTAAAAAAAAAAAGTGGAATACTTTTTAGTAAACTTGATTTGGTTAAGGCCTTCTAATCATTTTGAACTCAGATTTATAATATTGCCATTAAATATGGCTTAAGTAGAGTAAACCGCATTCAGGTCGAAAAGAACCGTGCACCTGCGACCACGTATCCATTTAATCTCGCTGCGGCCTATGGTTGGTACAAAGTGTCGTGACGATAACACTTGTGCTCCTAGCCAGCTGTAGCGACATCGTTAGGAAACACTGCGTTGTGGCGTATTCTGTACCAAACGAAATATAAATACTGAACAAAATATTTTGCACTGGCGTTTAACATTTTTATCGAGGCGTCGATGAGAAATAGTGACACCATTGAGAAAGTTTCAATTCTTGCTCGACATTCGGTGACGGCGGCAGGTACGTGTAAACTTCGTTTTTTATGCTCTGAACAGTAGTGGACCCGCTTCCATTCACCTGCTATAAAAATCTCTTGTACAGACAGACAGACAAAGAACTTTATTGAGGTCCTGAGAAGCGCTGCCCTTAGGGCAGCACCGCGGGCCGCTCCCACGTGGGGACGGGGAGGCCTAGCCTCACCGCCGCATCGTGGGCTCTCTGGACAGCCCGGAGTTGTGGGAGAAGCTCGGAACTCGTGATGGCAGAGCTCCACTCCTCCTCGGTGACTTGATTGGGCCCCCGTAACGAGGGGCACCGCCAGAGCATGTGATCCAAGCTGCTGACCGAGCCGCAGTCCGGGCAGATAGGCTTGAAGGTATCCGGATCAATAATGCTGAAGAAAGCTAAACTGGGATATGATCTAGTCTGCAACATTCTTAGTGTGATTGCCTGAGACCTGGAGAGTTTACCGTGCGGGGGCGGAAAAGTCCGCCTGCCCATTCGATAGTGCGTGATGACTTCGTTAAAGGTGAATAAGATGTCTTTAAATTCCACGTAGCCACCCTGCAGATCGGCGTCCTTCCCGGCGCAGAGGGTTAGAGCGCGCGCCCGAGAGTTAGCAGTATCGTTGAGGTTGGTAAGGGAATCTAGCTGAGAATCGAGATGTGCCGGAAACCAAGTAATGGTGTGCGGGGAGATAATCTTATTTCCAAGAATTTTAGAGGCTTCGTCAGAAATGGAGTTAGAAGCAAAAGCCCGAACCGCCGATCTAGAGTCTGTGTAGATGTGCGATCTACTATTGTCCAGGAGGGCGAGAGCTATGGCCGCCTGTTCGGCCCTCGAAGGAGTAGAATCTTTGAAGGATGCGGAATTGAGGATCGAACCCTGGTGATCGATGGCAACGGCAGCGAACCTGGCCGAGCGGCCATACTGTGCGGCATCCACGAAGCAAGCCGAGCGAGGTTCGTCCCTAACCTGTCTCAGAAGCGCGACGGCCCTGGCTCTGCGTCGGCCGACATTGTGCTGTGGATGAACGTTACGAGGAAAAGGAGAGGTCTGAATGCTGGCCCTTTGGGCGTCAGAAAGCTGATGTCGCCGCTCCGCAACGAGCGTGGGGTTGAGGCCGAGTATGGCCAAAATCTTCCTTCCGGCCGGCGAAGACGACAGCCGAGCTACCTGGGCAGTTTCCTGTGCCTCGATGATTTCTTCCAGGGTGTTGTGAGCCCCTAGCTGCATGAGTCGCTCGGTGCTGGCCTGCATGGGAATGCCCAGCACCCTCTTTATGCTCTTTCGAATTAGCGTGTCCAACTTCTTTTTCTCGTGACCGTGCCAGCAGTGCATGGCCACCACGTACGTGATGTGGCTCATGAGGAAGGCGTGAAAAAGTCTCAGGAGGTTGTCTTCTCTGAGACCTCCCCGTCTGTTGGAGACTCTGTTGATTAACCTGATCATGTTCTCCGTCTTTGTGGTGATTTTGTTAATCGTTCGACTGTTACTGCCATTCGACTCTACCAGCATGCCAAGCACTCTAAGGACGTCCACCCTGGGAATGGGATTTCCGGTACTCGTGTGGATCGTTATGTCTACTTCGGACAGTGGCATCCAGCCATTTTGGTTTGGGACCCATCCTTACAGGCCTGTATAGGAGGAGCTCCGACTTGCTCGAGGAGCACTTAAGGCCCGTGTTGGTGAGACAGTGTTTTGTTTGGTCAAAGGCTTCCTGAAGTGCAGTTTCGACCTCGCCCTCGCTACCGCCGACACACCAGATGGTGATGTCGTCGGCGTAGGGAGTGTGATTGATGCCTTCAACTGTGGAGAGTTGTTTAGATAGCTTGCACATGGCAATATTGAATAAGAGCGGGGAGATTACCGCACCCTGTGGCGTACCTTTTGGGCCCAGCTCCACGGGGTCGGACCTAAGATCGCCAATCTTGAGCGTGGCTTTCCTGGATCGTAGAAACGAACTAACAAACTTGTGAAACGTGTCGCCCAGTCCGAGCTCCGAAATGGAGTCCAGGATGTGCGCGTGGGTGATGTTGTCGAAGGCTTTTTCTAAATCGAGGCCTAGGATAGCCCTGACATCCCTCGTCTTCCTGTTAAAGATTTGGTGTTTGAGTAGCTTTATTGCGTCCTGCGTAGACAGGGACGGGCGGAAACCATTCATGTTGTACGGGAAGAGATTCTTCCCCTCGATGTGCCTTGATATGCGGTTGTGTATAACGTGCTCTGCCACCTTGCCCACACAGGACGTAAGGGAAATGGGTCTGAGGTTAGCCAGCCCCGGAGGCCGACCGGGCTTGGGGATCAGGACGACCGTCGCCGTCTTCCAGGACTCCGGGACGGATCCCTGCTCCCAAATACGGTTGATTTCATCAGTGAGAAATTCAATGGAGCCGTCTTCCAAGTTTCGGAGCGCCCTGTTGGAGATGCCATCGGGGCCCGGGGCCGATCTACCGTTGAGGTTCTGGAGAACTTCCCTGGCCTCGTTGACGGTGAAAGGCTCGATGAGCTCCAGGCAGGGGGGGCCCTTATAGGACGGGTAATCCGCCGGGCTCGAGGTGCCGATAGGTAGGTATTTGTTTGTCAGCACGTCCAAGATGGCGTCTTCCGTCTCGGACTGACTGGCCTCGTGGAGGACTCTGCTAATGACCCGATTCTGATTGGAGTTGGAGTTGGACTCGTTCAGCAGGTGTTTGAGTAGATTCCACTTACCGCCGACTCGCATTTGACCATCGACCGAGTTGCACACCTCGTCCCGTTGCTGTCTGGTGAGGGATTGGCAGTGGTCTTCGATGGTTCGGTTGAGCTCTGCAATCTTCTTGCGGAGCCTGCGGTTGAGTCGTTGCCCCTTCCACCTGTTGAGAAGCGCCTTTTTTGCCTCCAGAAGGTTTGCGAGGCGGTTGTCCATTCTATCGATCTCTAGGTCCGTCTGGACCGTCTTTGTCGCCGATTTGACGTCTCCTTTGAGCTGTGTCGCCCAGCGCTCCAGGTCGATAGACGAGTCCTGGATCAGTGCCCGCTCCTCTCTGCTCTTGCGAAACTGATCCCAGTCCGTGATGGTAAACTCTTTAAGCGGTTTGCTCTTCACGTTTATGCAAGTGGCAAGTATGTTGTGATCACTGCCTAAAGCTTCGTTTAGATACACAGCCCCGACGTTCTTGACAAAGCTCAAATCCGGCGTGGTGTCCCTCGAACATGAGTTGCCGATCCTGGTAGGGAACGCGGGGTCCGTGACGAGCGTGAGGTCGTGATTTGCCGCCGCCTGCCACAGGTCGTCTCCCTTGCGCGTTGCTCGCGAGTAACCCCACGCTCGGTGCGGGGCGTTGAAGTCGCCGGCAACGATGAGAGGGGAACCACCGGCTTTACCAGCTGCCCTGCTAAAAAGCGGTGCGAACCTCTGTTTTAGATCGTTAGGTGAGCTGTAGATGTGGAGTATAAAGATGCCACATTTAAGCCGACCACTCGGAATTATTTCAACAAAGGAGTGCTCAACCTTGCTGGAGTCTAAAAAAAGATCATGCGTAATGAAAGTGCATTTTTTGGAGACGAGCGTACAGATGCCCCTCTTTCCTTCACTGTAAACGACGTGCGATTTGTAACCCGGTAACGTGACCGCGTCGGAAAGTGTTTCCTGAAGTAGAATGACGTGTGGCTCTTCCGAATGAGATCTAATGAACTGCTGGAGGACAGCCCTCTTGCGCTGAAAACCCCAGCAATTCCACTGCCAGATTCCAACTGCTTTAAGATGAGCCTCCATGACTGGATATGCCAGTTAGTCTATCCTGTACAATGTTACAAGGTGTAGCCGCTTGGAGGTGTTGGGCACCAAAAGATGCCGGGTTTCCGGTCGGAGAAGGCTCATTGTTCGCAAGAGCACAAAACTCCATCGTCCCTTTCCTCGCCTCCAAAGTGTCCACCCTGGCCTCCAGCGCGTTACTTTTGTCGGGGATCCTTTGACGCGATCGGCCCATCCGGTCTCCTGGGCAGCAGGCTTCCGGATGCGAACCGCCGAGCCCCCGGAGTGTGAGTGGCCCCCGGAGCGAGAGCGGCCCCCGGAGGTAGCCCGCGGCAGTCGGACCCTGGATCGCCCTCTCGAAGGCACCCTGGTTATGCCCGGCACCCGGGATCCACTCCCGGCCCGGGGTGGAATGGCCGGTCCAGACAGCGTGCCCATCGGCGGAAAATCCTGGTTGTAGTCACGTCGTTCTTTTCTTCTCTGTCTTACGATGTAAGGCACTTGATATCTCTGCTTACAGGACTTGTCGGCCGTGGGGTGAGGCCCCCCGCAGAGGGCGCATTTAGGTGAACAAACATGTTGGTCGCTTGGGGAATTTACTCCGCAGCCCCTGCAGACCACGTTTTCGGGAGTCGGGCTGTCACAAAAACCGGCCTGGTCCCGCCGGGCCTTGCGTATTGTAAAGGGCGCCCCGTCGGCTGCCTGCGGGGCCATGTGGTCGCCGCGGGTGGTGTGACACTCCCTGGTTGGCGCTAGTTAGCACCTCGCCGGTCCCGACTGGGACCCTTACTTGACTTGTTTATGGCCTCTTTGACTCTCGTTCGGGGGACGCTTTGCCCGATGCTTGGGCACGGTACCACTTCGTGGAATTCGGAAATGAGTTTGCCAGATGCCCCAGTTGAGCGTTTTGGGTGTTGACTTTGGAGCTGGGGGCAACAAGTGTCTTCGCCGCTGTGACGGTCCTTTTTTTTTTGTGTGTGTGTGTGTGAGTGTATTGCGATTGTAGGAAAGCGGGTATGTTTTGTTATCTTTATTAGGAAAGAGCGCCTTTTGGTTGAAAACTGGGAAACGGCGCGGCAGTCGACTTGGGAGGTTCGAGAGCGCAACCCGCTCTTCCTGTCGGCTCCGGGCGTAGCCTCGGGCACCGCGGTAAAGGGGAAGACCCGTCGGGACACTGAACGTCAGCTATTTCTGTGCTCCAACCCTATGCGGCCTTCCTCTGCCGGACTGCCCCAGTGCGTCGACCGTCCGTGACGCGACAGCGACTAAAACCAACGACCACCGCCTCTGGCGAACCGCGGCCACGTCGAGAGGGAATCAACCGCAAGCGACAGACTTCAGGTGCTCCCACGCCTCTGCGAGCCTCGTCGTGCCGGACTGCGCCCAGTGCGGTATCGTCCCATTCCTTTTGTTGTGTATTCTCTGTCTTGCTTATAGCTACTCAGTTTCTCTTGTATGCTTCTGCCTGATTGAGACTGTGTGTGTATTATCCTTTCACTTTTGTCACCATCTTACTATAGCCTTTATTAAATGTTTCTACTGCTCTGTTATTCACGTGCCTTGTCTTTGTCCCCCCGTCCCTGGAGCCCACGTACTGTGGGATAGCGGGCGTCCGAACCCCCGTTGCGGTCTACGGCGAGTGCGCTTCCCCTCTCGCTCTGCACCGGACCGTGACACGGGCATACGTCGGCTCGGTGACCGAGCCTGCCACATGCGCAGCAGACCTCCGTTTGTCTTCGGTAGAGCGTGCATCTGAGCATACTGAGGCCGCACATGACTTGGTTTGGCACTTTGAGACCGTCAAAGAGAATGACGACTGTGGTGGAATTCTTGATTCTTCTAGCTTCGAGAGCCTTGGGGTACCTCGGCTGTATGGTGAGACTTCTAAGTTGCTCGTGATCTAATTCCGGGTCAATGTTTCTTATGATCCCCTTGCACGTGTTGTCGGGCGCAGCGAGGTAGGAACTGACCTCGTAGATTGCTGAGCCAATGGAGATGGCTTCAATCCCCGCATAGGTCTTGGCATTGTGTTCTGAAGGTGTGCTGACCACCAAAATGTTCTGCATGGTTTTGGGGCAGGTGATGTCTTCCGCAGTATTCGCGAAAGGGAGACCCGCCGCATTCACGAGAGCCTGGGCGCCCTTGACTTGACTAACATTTTTAACGTTTAGGCCACCCCGAGGTCGGACGATGACTCTAAAGTGCTCATTCGGCAGGCGAGGCATTCTCGAGGCAGCTACAAGGCGTTTCTTCACGCTGGCGGGAGTGCGAGAGCCGCCATTGCTACTGCCACTTGGTGTGTTGGAGGGCTGCTCGCTCTCGGCGGGCAGGCACTTCTGGGAAGATTTGCGCTTGGTAAACGCCGACTGCCAACCGCCGCACTGAAATTCTTCTGGAGAAATGTCTTCCCCCTCTACTGCAACTTGCATGGCCATCTTAATCAAAGCAAACGAGGTCGCACGGGAGCGAGCCCGCCGAGCCTCCACCGGGATGGTAGGCCTATGGTGTGAGGCTTAATGCGTCCGCGGTGTGGTCGAGCAAAAAGTATCTTGAAAAACTGGCAAAAAATCCACCCACCGTGGAAAATTGCGTATCGGCGTGGTCTGGACGACTTTAGGCGTCGAAGGACACAAAAATCACGAAGAAAATATCAGAATTTTCGACTGAAAACAGTTCTAGGTTGATCGAAGAAGCAGGGCGCCGTTGCTACTGGCTTCATCCTCTTCTTTCACTCCAATCTCTTGCAAAAACAAAAAAAAAACAAAAAAAAAAAAACCCTGAAAATCACGGAGACCAGGTTTGATAAAGCGAACACATAAAAATCCTTCAATACCTCTTCACGCCACTGGAAGGTGTTCACGAAAAACGCGTGGTCACACACCTTCTTCATTTGCCTCAACTATATTTTCACGCCTATTCTAGGTTGAAATGTCTTATTTTTTCGTCACGTATACAAGATACATAACCCACGTAACTGAGAACGAAAGGAAAGAAAAAACGTCTATTGGAGATACCGTATTTACTCGCACAAGGGTCATTCCATCTCAAACGTAACAAGGTGTGCGCTCGACAATCTCGGATTAAATCGAAAAAAGTCTTAGCTTTTACTTGTAACCTGAATAGTCACTTGCTCAAGTATTTTGGGGAAAAAATTTTTTTTGCCGACATGAGCGCAACTTTATTTTGGCAGTTGTGTGTAAAAATGAGCAGTACAAGAAAAATCATAAAAAATCGAGATCTTCTTAGATTTTCACAGTTTTTTTGTTTGTTTGATTCTAGAATGGTTGGGCAATATTATTTAGTTACTTTGGCTATGTATTTAAATGTTTTTGTTTTCGGTATCATTTGCGTAAAAGGCACAAAAATTGAATGATTTGCGATTTTTCGTAAAAAACGATTAACACGATTTTGACCATTCTAAAATTATTTATGCACGGTCGGCGAGCTGTACTTCCGAAATAAAAAAAGTTTGAATGACAAAACATTTCGCAGTGTGCCAATAAAAAATATCAAATTTATGCAAAACGTGCTTTTAGCTCATGTTCGGCCATCAGTGGCGCCTTGAAGCGGTCCAAGGAAAAATACACGGTATAGCTCATATGATAGAACGCTTTATTTACATTCAATTCTGATAATTTAAAGGGAGTGAATTGTTTTTTAAGAGAGAAAACATTTTTTTTGAATTCGGCAGGTTGTAGCGCGTCTCAGCCGTTCCGCGCAACCTCTTCCCTGCATAGCACGCCGCCGCTCGCGCTGTCGTCCACTGGCGAAACTTTGCGCTTTCCTTGGGTGCTATGGGTCGCACTTCATGATGCATGAGGTAAGTAATAGTCGAGTCAGCGTAGTCCGTGCCTGGGCATTTTTCACATTTCCCGAACATGCACTTCTCGTTATCCAGTCGACACACTGTGGCCGCTATGAGCTCTTCGCAAGTTTCCTTGATACCAGCTGCGTGATGCATAAGCTTAAAATTCTTATGCTCGATACATACGCAAACTGTGTGGGTGCCGCCTCCCCCTGCTAAAACACAGTGTGGAGGACGGAGACCTGCGAACGTTGAAAAGCTGCATTTCAGATGGGTAGTTTTTTTTTTTTTTTCATTCTTCATGCATTTGTTTCAGGTTACTGAGCAGCAGGCGCTTTTGACGACCGCGTACAGCATCTTTTTTTCCTGAGAGGCAGTACGAAACTGAGTCATCTTCGTAGAACGCTCTGACAGACTCTTTAATTTGTTCGCTTACGGGGTGGCCTTTCCTTTTAGGTGGCGTACCTGCCTCGGACTTCAGTTTCATGGCGTTGCGTACCTGTCGCGCAGACGCGCCAAAGAAATTCATGATTTTCTGATTGGTCCAGGAGTCCGGAGCCAGAATTAAAATCTGTATTTTCTTCTCTCGAGTATTTTCGTTGGCAAATTTGCGTCTTAAGTTGTTCATCAGTATGTAGTCGCTCAGCTCAAAATCTTCCTCTTCGTCTGATCGCGATGTTCCAGGATGAGATATCCCAAGAGACGAGTAAACAGTTTGTTCAACGCTCTTCTGAACCTTTCTCACTTTTTTCCTCGCGTAAGGTTCCCGGCTTTTTCTCCCGAGTTTCTTTCTGAGAGGGCTCTCTCCGATCACTGCAAGGGCCTCATTAACAGCTTCAGGCGTTATGATTATTTCATCTGCTGGGTTTCCTAGATCAATTTGTTCCAAGCAGTCGTCAGGTCCCTCAGATGGTGCAAGAGTACAACTCGTGGACGGATCCTTGTAGCACTTGCATTTACAAGTTTGGCAGATTCTGTCTCCTGGGATTAGGCGCAAAGAGGGTTGCAGGTCTGCCAGTGTGGTCGTCACGACTGATGACCCCCGACAGCTTTTCACATGCTCCGAAAAGGGGTCGCAGCACCATTTGGACGCTATATGCGACGTGTACTTCTTTACGTACATCTGATAATGGTGGCCACACACGATGCTGTTCTCATCTTGCGCAATCACTGTGCGCAGCACGAGAAGACGCCGCTCCGCATCTGAGAGCTCTTCAACGCGGATGACGTAGCGTCGCTTTGTCTAAGTAGTTTTGTGGCAGTAAGTAGGCCCAAGAGAACATGGTGGATCTCCTGAAAAAAAAAGAAGTACTCCTACATGAGCGGAGAAAAAGATGGGCGTCGTTACTTTAAAACTTTGGCTGCGTACGGGCTTAGTGTTTTATGGCGCGCAGCAAAAAGGCTAGTCCTTTAATATGTATAACTTTATACATTATAGCGTGTCGCTTTCCGTCACATACTCATCCTTCTGATGATGCACTGGACAACTCCGCCTTTCTACCAAAAATGAGCCCGAAAATATTTGGAGGCGAGTTCAGTGGATAGCATTTTTAGCTTGCCAGATTGAGACCTCGAGAAACTATCTTTTACAGTATTTTGCATCGCCTTTGATGCAGTACGAAAGCAATTCTACTACTCGCCTTCAGCTCCTGAATCTGAAGATGCAGAAGGGCTTCCTCCCGCGGAACGTGGCGCTTTTTCCATGCTAGAAGAATCGCAGGTTGTGGCGTATGTTGTAGCTCGGAGTTTGAAATCAAGAAAAAAGGACAAACACTGAGACACAAGAGCCAGGCGGCGGGCAACAGAGATTCACGGGACGCGGAGTCTTTCGTTGAGTTCTTTCTTTCTGGCGATCCCGACACGTCTTCGCCGTAGCGCTCTTTCCATCGGGGTGTCGAATTTCCCTGGTTCCTGCTCAGCTTGTGATCTCCGCTCGCACCGTGTTCGGTCTTTATACTGTCTGCCTGCATGAGCGTCGAGTTTCTCGTTCGCTTTCTCACGCTTCGCCGTATCAAGAGAGATATCAATAGGTTGTGTTCGCTATACGTGGCGAACATGCGCATAATACATTACACACGCTTTCTTTCCTTTTTCCACGACGGTCCTGAACTGCAAAGAGTGCTTTTAAGCTCATTCATGTTGCTAGTTGAAATAAATGTCCGTCGTCCTTCATCCCGAGTTTGTTTTATTCTTTCTTTTACCAGTCAATAACTCTTCGGTCTGTTTAATAAAGTATGGGTTGTAGACTTAGAGTAATAAGCATGTATTGTTGGAATAAAACTTGCGATTGGTCTTAAACGACTTGAACGATAACAACCGCGTATGCAAAGAAAGCCGCTTTCGCTCGTGGTAAACGGCAGAATTACCTCTCCAAATTGCCGTTAGTTTACACAGTTTGGCAGCACCCGAAGAAATGTGCAGCAGAGATCGCGGCATCTCCCTGTTTACGGCACCTCGTTAAGGCAGCATCGCATGATTGGCCGGTCAGAAGTTCCGGTACGCTGTTATCGCACGTGTTAGGCAGCCGGTACTCCTTTCTGCCGAAAACACCAACAAAATGTGCATTGGGACGTAGATGAGCTCGATTATTAACTTCGACAAGCATCCTGAAGCAGCTACCCGAAGCGCCCAAGCAAAGCGCTCAGTTACCCCGGCGGACGACAGCGCGAGCGGCGGCGTGCTATGCAGGGAAGAGGTTGCGCGGAATGGCTGAGACGCGCTACAACCTGCCAAATTAAAAAAAAAAATGTTTTCTCTCTTAAAAAACAATTCACACCCTTTAAATTATCAGAATTGAATGTAAATAAAGCGTTCTATCATATGAGCTATACCGTGTATTTTTCCTTGGACCGCTTCAAGGCGCCATTGATGGCCGAACATGAGCTAAAAGCACGTTTTGCATAAATTTGATATTTTTTATTGGCACACTGCGAAATTTTTTGTCATTCAAACTTTTTTATTTCGGAAGTACAGCTCGCCGAATCCCGGAGAAAAGCTCACCGGAGAAAAGCTCACCGGAGAAAAGCTCACCGGAGATAAGCTCACTGGAGAAAAGCTCACCGCAAAACCGGCGGATGCGGAGAAAAGCTCACCGATTTTTTTTTCTTTTTATATGGAGGCTGTTGGATCATGCATAACATATATCAATTTATTATCATTAAAGTTCGTCAGCTGTGTCAAAAAGAAAATGTCCTTTTTTGTATAATTTGGCAAGCTTATTAAGTATATTGCTCTCAAATTAATAATGGCGGGCCAGTGTTTCCTACGGCTTACTCTCTAGGCAACTAAAGCCGAACTGAAAATTTTATGAACTTGAATAACATGAAAAAGTTAGAAAACTTATGTCTCCCTAAAACCTAAAAATCAAAACTCTAAACACCGAAAATCCGAAAGTACATGCGCAACAACGCGGTGCCTGAAATTCTCTCTGAAGCTTTTATTAACCTTTGAAAACAGGATAAAACAGTCAGTATTGGATATTGAGGCTTCTTTCTTCCACGGACATGCACGTTTTCTAGCCGTTCGTGCTGGTGTTTCCGTACGTTGCCTTTGTGTGATAGTGCCCTTCTAATGTGAGCCACTCATGAATTTCAGAGCTGCACACTGGCACCGTTGTTACTCGTGACCTAT